CAACCTTTGAAGCTAGATCCAAATCTCAAAAATTTTCTTCATATTTTACCCTAATTTTCTGGAAAACTCAAGATTACAAAGAGTTTCAAATCTTGAATTTTTGCGAAAGGATGACAAACTGCAGATTTTTACTACCTGAATTTGCCCAATGTTCGAAGATTTTTTAGATTTTAGAAAACAATTCGATATTTGAAATGAGGTCAACATCCAAAATCTCAGATTTATTGTGATTGAATTTTTCAACACTTTAATCTCCTTTGTTTAGAACATGAATTAGATTATAAATTATGTTGTCCTGACATATCTTCGCTACGAAGCTATTACATTTTGCTCGAGATTTGTGTACCAACCTCGTGTAATAGAAAATCGTGCCAAACGAATCCATCTTTACGGAAAAGGTGATTTGTTAAATGCACCTAAAGAGAAGCTTTTGTAAAGTCTTTCAAATTTGGCTAGTTACATTTCAAGTCCACTCTTGTTTGATTCTATTACTTGTAAGGATGAAGAGGTAAATTATCTTTTTTAACTTTAAGATTTGTATATTTACTGATATTCGAGATCACACTGGCACCAGATCCCATCAGATCTTTTCCTAAATGGGACTTGAATCTAGGTCTTTTCTTCTTCTCCATTTCATCCATGATATTGTTCGAATCTTGTTTTCAACAATTGGCTATGATACCTTAAACGGTCATTTTGCCAGCTTTGTACTCCTTATCTTCATACGGACCTAGAACTGGGCGTAATGGAAAATTGGAACCATCTACATCAGCCTAATCATCAGCATGTCCATCAAGAGTGACGAATACGGGCTAAACTCGGCCACAATTCGGGCCTCGGCATCGGTTCAAAGTGCCAGTCACTGGATCCTTGGTGAGAGGCCATGAATCGCAGTTGATGAGAGGCCACATATTTCGACAGACTAGGTGCTTCCATGATAATTAAAAAAGTCAAACAACGACAATGATATGTTATATCACTAATAAGTCCTTGTCAGTCACAGAAAAAATGGTCAAATAACAAGCTAACGCTATGTAGTGTCAACAATTAGCTTGACCTTAGAAATCAATTCATCCACATGTTTATTGTGATAACATTCTATTAGGGACGTCAATTTGGCTCGTTAATTTGAACGGCTTATGACTCGACCCAGAAAAAACCCGAGCAGGCTTGACTAGCGGCTCGAGCTAAGCCCCAATTTGGGGCATCCAGCCGGCTCGTGTCACAAGCCAGTTTTGACCCGTGAAAAAATGAGCCTTAGGAAAAATAAATTAAAAATTAAAAGCTTAGCATGCAGCTGCAACTTGTTGTCGAACAAAGGTAGCTACGCTTGTAGCTGCCTGCTATCAGGCAACTACACGATAAAGACCTAAGTCGAAAGCCTGAGTCAAGCCTAGAATTTTTTGGCCAAGCAAAAATTCAGCTTGGCTCGGGCAAAGAAAAGCTCAAACCATTTTTATTCAAGCCAAGCTCAAGTCTCGAGTTTCAGCTCATTGATATCCCTACATTCTGTTCGACCCCAACAAGGAGAATATAGGACAGAAGGACAGACCATGATAAACCTCTGCAAAACTATTTCATCAATTTCACTCAAAAAATGGTGGAGGTTGAAAGTATTCTACAGGATACAACTTTCCAAGTTCTGAAGTTCGATTTAGATGGGATTACTTCTTTTCGGATAGACAATAAAGGAGTAAGCATTTACAACTTTACAATTTTTTGGCGAAGTGCGATATTGACACCATAGTTAGTTGTAATACAGTTGGCACAGCTTTTAGTTAGCTGTAATACAGTTGGCACAGCTATTAGTTTGCTATTTATAAGTCTCGTTGATGTACATACAATTCATTGACTTGAATAAGAAATTGCTTTTCTTCCCCAATATGGTATCAAAGCTAAAGCTCCGTTGGCTCTGAAATTCACAAAATTTGGTTCGAGTTTTTCTGCCATGGCTACAGATTCTTCGAATCAATTGCCACACATTCTAGCATCATCATCGACGAGCAATTCCGCCATTGTTGATGGATCTAGCCCCTATTTTCTTCACCACTCAGATAATCCAGGTCTCATATTTGTTTCGCAACCTCTGACAGGAGACAATTATGAATCCTGGAGTCGAGCAATGGTGATAGCCCTGTCTGTGAAGAATAAATCTGGTTTTATTGATGGATCAATTCCAAAGCCTAAAAATTCTGACGATCTCCTTAATCCATGGATCTGCAATAACAATATGGTAATTTCCTGGATCCTTAACTCTGTATCCAAAGAAATTTCTGCAAGTTTGATATATTATGAATCTGCACATGAGATTTGGATGGATCTCAAGGAGCGTTACCAACAGAAAAATGGTCCACGCATTTTTCAGTTGAAACGCGAATTAATGAACCTCACATAGGGACAATTATCTGTTAATACCTACTTCACTAAGTTGAAGACTGTTTGGGAAGAACTTAGTAATTACAGGCCTATATGATCGTGTGGAAAATGCACATGTGAAGGAAATAAGAAATTGGCTAAACATTATCAAATGGAGTACGTTATGTCATTTTTAATGGGACTCCATGAATCATTTGCTCAAATCAGAGGGCAGCTGCGGTTGATGGATCCAATTCCATCTACTAACAAAGTGTTTGCTCTTGTGACTCAAGAAGAACATCAAAGGAAAATGAACTTGAACACAGATGTGTTAGGCCTTGCTAGTTCAATGGCCTTTTATGCGAAGAATGAAACCTGAAAGCCTGCCATGGGACAATCAAATAATAAACATTAAAAAAAGGATATACCTATTTGCACATATTGTGGATATTCTGGTCATGCAGTGGATAAATGCTACAAGTTACATGGTTTTCCCCCGGGGTATATGCCCAAACATAGGTCTGATTTTAACAATCAAGCAGGGTCGAGTACTTAGACACGTGGTGCAATTACCAACTTGGTTTCTGATTATGTAGCTGATCAGACTTCAAGTGTCAAAACTTTTATGCAGACATTAAACCCTACACAATGTCAACATTTGTTGAACATGCTAAACTCTCATCTCACAACAACCACGTTGAATACAGATGTGGAGGAAAAATGTGATCACATTTCAGGTACTTGTTTTTCCACTATATCTCTTGATTCTATAATCAGTTCACTGAGGTGTTGGATAGTGGATTCAGGAGCTACGAGTCATATTTGTTCTAATAAATCAATATTCCACTTAATGAAGCATGTACAGAATGCATTTGTCACTTTGCCAAATCATGTGCAAATCCCTGTGAATTTTGTTGGTAATGTGAAGATTTCCCCTGACTTGGGGCTCGTGGATGTATTGTATATTCCTCAGTTCAAGTTCAATCTTATATCAGTCAGTTGTCTAACCAGAAACTCATCTGTAAATGTCAACTTTCTCACTAATTCATGTGTTGTTCAGGATCTTCACAAGTTGAAGACGATTGGCAAGGGTAAAAGAATTGGAGATTTATATGTGATACAAGTGCAACCTCTTGCTCCAGTACCAAATCCATGTGATCCTTCTGGAAAGATTTGTAATTCTGCTCATTTGAGGAATAATAATGTCCCTACTGATATTTGGTAGACTAGGCTACTTATCATTTAAAAGGTTGAATTTGTTAAAGGACCAGTTACAATTTGATTGTAATAATAAGAAAGGTGGAGCATTTACCCCCTGTTCTATTTGTCCCTTAGCTAAGTAAAGGAGGCTTTCTTTTGTTTCTAAAAATCATCTATCATCTGCTGCATTTGACTTGGTACACTGTGATACTTGGGGTCCTTATAATGTCCCTCCCATGCTGGTTACAAATACTTCCTAACACTGGTTAATGATTGCACACGATTTACATGGGTTTACTTAATGAAGCAGAAATCTGATGCTAGTTTCATCATTCCCAGATTCTTCACACTAATTGAAACTCAATTCCACAAGGTGATAAAGAAGTTTAGATCTGATAATGCCTCAGAATTACAATTTGTGGATTATTTTCATGAAAAAGGGGGTCATTCATCAATTCTCTTGCGTAGAAAGACCTGAGCAAAATTATGTGGTTGAGAAGAAACATCAGCATCTCCTCAATGTAGCTCGTGCATTATTTTTCCGATCACAGGTTCCTATTGAATTCTGAGGGGACTGTATCCTTACAGCTACATACCTAATAAATCGAACTCCTTCTCCAGTCATACAAAACAAGACTCCTTTTACCTTGCTCTTTAATTCCCCTGTTGATTATAAGTCCCTTAGAGTTTTTGGGTGTCTTTGTTTTGCTTCTACCTTAACATCCCATAGACCAAAGTTCAAGCCAAGGGCCAAGGAATGTGTTTTTGTTGGTTACCCTCCTGGCATTAAGGGATATAAACTATATGATGCACATGCAAAATCTTTCTTTATATCTAGGGATGTTATCTTCTATGAACATCTATTCCCATTTCATTCCATATCTCCTTCCAGTAATCTCGTGGATCCTTTTCCTGATTTGGTTTTTCCTCAAGCTTTCCAGATCATAACCAACATTATCCCACCTCTGACATTCCTAATAATGACAGTGGTGGTTCCATTGCCATTACAAATGTTCTTGTTCAAAATCCAAATCATACTCTTAGAAGAACCACTAGAATTCGTAAACCTCCATCCTACCTCCGTGACTTACATTGTAATCTTCTCACCAACACTGCACCTCCACAATGTCAGTCTCCATTTCCTCTATGTAATTACATCTCTTATTCTAACTTATCTCCTTCCCATCGCACCTTCCTTCTTCATATCTCTTCCAACTTTGAACCCCAATATTACCACCAAGCTGTCAAGTTTGAGCACTGGAGGAATGCTATGGCCACTGAATTGGCTGCCATGGAAGCAAACAAAACCTGGACTGTTACTCCTTTACCTAAAGGAAAGCACTCTATAGGTTGCAAATGGGTGTATAAGACTAAATATAAGGCAGATGGCAGTGTAGAGCGTTACAAAGCTCGCTTGGTAGCCAAAGGTTATACCCAACACAAAGGGATGGATTTCATTGAAACTTTTTCCCTAGTTGCTAAACTAGTAACTGTTAAAGTCTTGCTAGCCATTGCAGCTATTCAGAATTGGTCACTAGTTCAGTTGGCTGTAAATAACGCTTTTCTTAATGGGGATCTATTTGAAAAAATATACATGGATCTCCCTTTAGGTTACTTTATACAGCCTCCATCTGGAAATCAGGGGGAGAAACTTGAGTGTAAACTCCATAAATCTATCTATGGCATTAAACAGGCATGTCGACAGTGGTTCTCCAAGTTTTCACAGGCCCTTATTATTTATGGGTTTCAACAGTCTAAATCTGACTACTCTTTATTCACAAAAAGGTCTGGTGCTTCTTTCATTGCACTTCTGGTCTACGTTGATGACATTGTCATAACTGGACCAGGTTTTCATGAGATTGAGTCCCTGAAGTCATTCCTCCATGATCATTTCAAGCTTAAGGATCTTGGAGCACTGAAATATTTTCTTGGCTTGGAAATCCAGGTCACAGAGAGGCATTTCTCTTTCTCAGAGACATTAGACTCTTCAGCTCTTTGAAGATACTGGTTTTCTTGCTTGCAAACCAGCTCATTTACCTATGGATCCCAAGTCTCGCCTTAGTTCACATGAGGGAGATCTCATTGAAGATGAGTCTTTATACCGCAGGCTTATTGGACAGTTACTGTACCTAACCGTCTCTCGCCCTAACATCACCTTTGCAGTCCATAAACTGAGTCAGTTTGTTGCTACGCCTCGGAAGCCTCACCTTGATGCCATGCATCATCTCCTGAGGTATCTTAAGGCAACCCCTGGTCAGGGAATATTATTTGCTGCATCCTCCTCCTTTCAACTATAGGCATTTGCAGACGCTGATTGGGGCTCATACCTTGACTCCAGAAAGTCCATTACAGGTTTGTGTATCTTCCTTGGTAATTCATTAATATCTTGGAAGGCAAAAAGACAGACTACTTTGTCCAGATCCTCTGCAGAAGCAGAGTATCGCGCTCTTGCAGCCACAACCAGTGAACTGGTTTGGATTCATCAGCTACTCCTTGATTTCCAGATTTCTCTCACCACACCGGCATTAATCTTTTGTGATAACCGGGCTGCAATTCATATTGCCAGTAATCCCACCTTCCATGAGCAAACTAAGCACATCGAGATCAATTGCCACTTCATTCGGGATATGATCACAGATGGATTTATCAAGCTCCTACCCGTACGCACTCAACACCAGTTAGCAGACATATTCACAAAGCCTCTTCCAGCTTCTCTCTTTTCCCCTCCATTGTCCAAGATGGCTATTCTTAATCTGCATAGTCCATCTTAAGGGGGAGTATTGACACCATAGTTAGTTGTAATATAGTTGGCACAGCTATTAGTTTGCTATTTATAAGTCTCGTTGATGTATATACAATTCATTGACTTGAATAAGAAATTACTTTTCTTCCCCAATATGCGATTTTTACATTCGTAATTTTCGTAGAAAAATAGTTATTCATTATAATTCGAGGAGTGAAAGTGTAATTTTCAAAATAATAATAATAATAATAATAATAATAATAATAATAATAATAATAATAATAATAATAATAAAAGTTGTGAATGAGTCTCTAATCGAGCCTAGTTTAGATGAATCGTGCCGATCTGAGCTTGTCGAGAGGCGAGTTGAGCTAGGCTCAACCCATCTAATAATCCATGTTTTCAGCCAGGATTTGTATGCTCTAAGAGAGGATGAGAACTACAGCCTCAATTGTTAGTATTTAAAAATAAACAAATAAATAAAATTGACATTTTGTTTATATTCGCTTTAGCCCAACTTTTTTATGCCCAAACCCAAACCTATTATCCAAATCCATTAGTCAAATTCTCAAATTAACCTAGAATTTAAAGGGGAAAAAAACCAGTGTGGGGGATTGCCCAGCCTTTAGTGGGGATAGGGTTGAGAACGTTGAGCAGTAAAATCCTAGACAAGATAGAAAGGGGGCTCCCCTCCCAATTGCCATCCCCACAGTTTCTATGCAAAATTTATACAATTTTCATAGGAAAGCGGAAGCGGAATTAACTAGAAATTAAAATTTACTTTAATTCAATAAAGGGGATCGTCTAGATGTTCACGTATATATTATAACAAAATTAAAGAATTTAAATCTTTTACCTAAGTTCGATGATCAACCTTTGAATTAACTTTGCTCCGCGAACTTCCGTCTTCTTTAATTGCAAGAATCTTGGTGTTTTAAATCTTCAAGCTTTCTATGGTATTTTCCAACACAAAGACTACACTGACGTGTGAGCACCTTCTTTTAATTAATCCAAAAAGTACTTCTTGAATTTGGACAACAAGAAAATAAAATATTTTCTCTCTCTAATTTTGAATATTATGGAATTATGAATGTGAGAAAAAGATGATACAATTTCAGTACAATTATAATTCCATATTCAAACAAGAGTTCTAATTAAAACCCGAGTATGAGTTTTAATTTAAGTCCAATTCCAATTAGTTTACATTTAATTGCATTTGTAGCCCTAGAACTTCACCCAAAACTATCATAATTGTTGTAATTAAGTTTCAATACTTTATGGAGCTACCGAAGGGACTTGATCGGACATATATTATCCAACCTCCAATAATTAGATCCTGTCTAGTCGACCCTAAACCACCCAATCTAATTATTAGTCTTTGCTTTTTTTACTAAAGGCAAAAGACTGAACTTTTGGAATATATAAGATCATAAAAGCTCGATAATACTTTCTTCTAACTTGCCATATATATATTTTATCCCCATCTGAGATCCGATAATTAGGTGCATAAATAATTGTTTTATCCCTCTAATTATTCTCACTAACTTAAGTTTCATTTTTTTTTAACGCTCCTGTGAACAAATTATAGATATCAAAGTTTAGCCGTTGCTAAACACTGAGCTCAGATTTTAACCGTTCAACAGAAAATACGTAAGTAGTCACTCTACCCATTTTTCAGGATGATGGTTCCCAACACGAATTCATGTTCTCTACGTCGCTCATTCTCAAGCTCCCAACTCATTGAGATATTTGACCAATCAAATTGATCTCACACATTAATGAATCAAAAAACAATTAAAATTGCGAAAAGATATACATAATCTTGTTAAGGGATCTAGATGAAATACACAGTAGTCAAGTGGAATTTAAATCTCCACACGATCATGCTATAGAGTTAAATGCAACACACGGTCCGTTTAATACATTCCAAGTGTACTGGTGCTATCTCTAACTATTTCTGTGATAATGACAAATCACAAACCCAAATAGCGAATTGGTCAACACTACAACCTTCCAATATAAGGTACCAACCCTTATACATAGATTGTGAACAAATTATTTATGATCAAAATATAATTTGTGTTACACTATACTTCTAAACGCAAGTACCCAACTCATATTATCACAAATGATCACAGACACTTTAATTTTTGCATGATCAATAATAAATAAATGCAATAAATAAAGTAAACATAATTTTATTCAATAAAAATATTATTATTTTTACATCAGTAAAAATATACTATATAGGCACAGAAAGCAACAGTTTTATCCTCTTTTCTCTTGTACAATTAATTCACTAATTCCTATCTTCCTTGTACCATCCTTATTAGCCTCACCTTGTTTCTGTCCTTAAAGCCTTTGTTTGGTAAATTTATAAATCATATAAATATGGGACTTTATTTTTAACCACAAATTCTAATAGA